GATGACCACTCTTTGGATTCTGCTGCACGTCGCCGCTCAGCGTGACTACGAGCTCCACTCGCTTGACTTCAGCACTGCTTTCCTGCAGGGCAGCCTGCACGAGGAGATCTGGCTGCGCCGTCCACCTGGCTTCACTGGGTCGTTCCCTCCTGGTACCCAGTGGAGCCTCCGACGGCCAGTCTACGGTCTCCGCCAGGCGCCTCGTGAGTGGCACAACACACTGAGGACTACGCTTGCGGCTCTTGGGTTCGCGCCTTCTACTGCTAACCCGTCGCTGTTTCTACGCACCGACACCTCACTGCCGCCGTTTTACGTCCTTGTGTATGTCGACGACTTGGTCTTTGCTACTGCTGACACTGTGGCACCCGCCCATGTGAAGTCGGAGCTGCAGAAGGGACACACGTGCACAGACCTGGGTGAACTGACAAGCTATCTTGGCTTGCGGATCACCCGGGACAGAGCACGCCGCACCATCACCTTGACTCAGTCACACATGGTGCAGCAGGTCCTTCAGCGCTTCCGCTTCACGTACTCCTCGCCTCAGCCCACTCCTCTGCCTACCAGTCACTCGCTCTCAGCTCTGCCTTCGGATGAGTCCGTAGAGCCGAGTGGCCCGTATCCAGAGCTTGTGGGTTGCCTCATGTACCTGATGACCTGCACTCGACCAGACCTTGCATACCCTCTCAGCATTCTTGCACGCTATGTCGCTCCCGGCCGTCACCGGAAGGAGCACATGGATGCAGCTAAGAGGGTGTTGCGCTACTTGTGCAGTACGTCGGGCATGGGGCTAGTGCTTGGAGGGCGAGTCCCAGTTGTTCTCACTGGGCACTCAGACGCTTCTTGGGCAGACGACCAGGCTACTCAGCGGTCGTCTCAGGGTTACTCCTTCAGTCTTGGCTCTGGTTCTGTTTCTTGGCGTTCTACTCGCTCTTCTTCTGTTCTCAGCTCCAGTTGTGAGGCTGAGATCTACGCCACAGCCATGGCGGCCCAGGAGCTATGCTGGCTCACCTACTTGCTGACCGACCTTGGAGAGCAGCCTCGTTCTCCTCCAGTGCTGTACGTCGACAACAAGGCAGCCATTGCCTTGTGTGAGGAGCACAGACTGGAGCACAGAACGAAGCACACTGCTCTGCGTTACTTCCTTGCTCAAGAGCTGCAGCAGCGTGGTCAGCTTCGCCTGCGTTACGTGGCCTCTGAGGCCAACACTGCTGATGTGTTCACCAAGGCGCTTCAGCCTTGTGACCATCAGCGCTTTTGCACTCTTCTAGGCCTTGTGCCTACTGGACCTCACTTGCTTACTTCTTGAGTCTGTTTGTACTCTGACCTCTATATATATAGCTGCATGTTTACTCTTGTTAGGTTGTGATCATTGTACCTTTTGCTCTATTATTAACCTGCATGTGAACTGGTCTTGTGACCACTTGCTTGTGCTCGGAATTTGTGTGGTATCCTTGAGATCCACCCTGAGCTTGTTTTGCCTTGCATTGCCTTGACTGGTCTTGTGACCCCTAGTTCTCCCCCACTCTGCCTATGGGGGTGTGTCAAACATTATATATGTTGTGTTAGTTTAGGCTACAGTGGGTTAGCCTATAGGGGGTACACAATTCTAGGGTTAGGTACTTGTACTCATTTCACTGCTAGTTCATCCATTCCTGTTCAGTGATTCCAACACCCAGGACTGCTGCACGGGCGCCCACTCGTTTTTGAAGGGGCGAATGCTGAGTTGTTCTTCGGGTGACAGGTTTCTGATTAAGACGGTGAAGGCCAGGAGCGATTCGTTGTAGTATTGCGTCTTCTCCTGAGGTGAGCCGTTTGCTGGAAAGGAGTATGATTCGTCGTAGTACATCCAGATCTGGGCGCCCTGAGCTAGTAGTTCGAATTCGAAGCTCCACGTGTAGAAGTCTTGTCCATCGAAGGGCTTGGTAGTTCTAAGCTTCGACGTGGAGAGGAACTTGCTCTGCATTGAAGCCATTGCCTCGTAATGTGTTTGTTGTGCTTTAGCAGATCGTTGGGCTCCGCGGTTGTCGAAGGTAAAGGATCGTTCAGATCCAGCTCCTTGATGATCGGGAGGTCTTCGGGCGTAACTTGTGCTGTCGATGCTCATTGGCTGGTGGCTCTCCAGTGCACTGATGCGGGAGATCAGTTGCTCCAGGAGCGCTGTGTCCACGGTCGTCGTAGTAGAGGCTACATTGGTGGAAGGTTGCACTGGATTTTCTCCAGCCTCTCCGCAATCTGCGCCTGGCATGTTGATGCCCTTGATGTTGTTGATGTTGAGATTAAATTATAAAGAAGCTTTGTTAGAAGCCCTTTAGCAGATCCTATAATCCAAACTAGCTCTCATACCATGTTAGAGGAAGGACCTTTGGATAGGATAGGAGGTGCTTTTAGTAGAGTTGGTAGCGGAAGTCTTGTAAGAACCTCAGATCATTGTGAATGTAAATAACCAAGTTGATTAAATAATAGAATACAAGGAATATAAATAGTCCTAGTCTAGCCATGTACTCTGAGGGGTACATTCCCTTATTATAACTGTTTTACAAGTATTTCTACAGTGACTCTGACTGCTGTACTACTTTCTTGTTACCGAGTCGCTGCATGTAACCTGTACGGTTACGCCTGTTGCCATTCCTCGATGGTAAGTCAAGCGTCCGTCCAGATGGTCAACAGTCGCGACAGTTGACTCTTGCGACTGTTGACCTTCCAGCCCTTGATACGGGCTGATCCGATACTGCGGTTGTTGCTGCTTCGACAAAGTCAGGTGCGATACTGCTGCACCGTCGGGAATGCTGAGTATATTTCCCTTCACACTGTCAGAACATTATAGCTTATACATTAGTGTAGGCTGTAGTGGGGTAGCCCATAAGGGGTACAACCCAATTAGGGTTAGTACTTGTACCCAACTCTTTCATAGTCCAATCATTCTCGTTCTCTTTTCTCTTGGTATCGAGCAGGTTCCCTAGTGGGAACTGTTCCTAGGGCCCACCGACTTTTTTTTTCCTGCCCGGGGCGTGTCCCGCCCCTGCCCGAAGCGTGCTTAGGGTCGCGCCTTCCCTAGCGGCCACGTCGCGTCGCCCTTAGCGGCCCGTTGCGCCGCCCTTAGCGGTTCTGTCGCGCCGCCCTTCGCGGCCGCGTCGCGCCGCCCCTTCGTGGCCCCGTTGCGCCGCCCCTTTTGCGGCCTCGTCGTACCGCCCTCAGCGGTCCTTCGCCGCCCTCCCCCTGTGGCCTGACGCCGCCCTTTCACCTGCGGCCCCGTCGCCGCCCTTACAGCGGCCCCGTCGCTGCCCTTGCAGCGGCCCCGTCGCCGCCCTCCCCTTACGGCCCGTCGCCGCCCTTTCAGCGGCCCCGCCGCCTTCTTCAGCGGCCCCGCCGCCTTCTTCAGCGGCCCCGTCGCCACTCCTGCAGCGGCCTCGACGCCGCCCCTTCAGCGGCCCTCCCGCCGCCTCCTCTGCGGCCCCCTCACCGCTCACTTCAGCGGCCCCGCCGCCCTTCGCGGCCCCGCCTTCCTTAGCGACACAACAGCCCAGCAGCCGAGCCGCCGAGCAGCCGAGCCGCCGAGCCGCCCAGCAACCGAGCCGCCGAGCCGCCGGGCCGCCCAGCAGTCGAGCCGCCGAGCCGCCCAGCAGCCGAGCCGCCGAGCCGCCCAGCAGCCAAGCCGCCAACAGCCGAGCCGCCCAGCAGCCGAGCCGTCGAGCAGCCGAGCCGCCCGAGCCGAGCCGCCGAGCCGCCCTGTCGTCGAGCCGCCCAGCCGCCCAGATACTGCGGTTGTTGCTGCTTTGACAAAGTCAGGTGCGATACTGCTGCACCGTCGGGAATGCTGAGTATAATACCCTTCACACTCCAACACTAACAATGTTGGGATTTGCAAAATGGTGTAAGAAATTTCTCAAACCCCTTACGTTGCACCACGTACAACACTTTTCACGGGCTTGACCGTACTGTGCCTGTTGCCGGTTAACGATGTTCGCCCCATTGCGTGCTAATGTTGCCGAACTACGCCTCTGGGGCCTCATATACCAAGGAAAAAAGCCTGAAAATCCAGATTTTGGCAGCCCTTTATGTTGTCAGAATCCCAACCACTAGACCATTGGGATAAAAGGGCTTGTTAAGTAGCGGGCCAGTGCGCCTATAACCCCCCAGGCCAACATGCCTGTAACCCTTCCCTAGGATCAATTGTGGATCACCAGTGGACCTCTGACATATGTTGCAGTATGAAAGGAATTACTTTTAGCGTTCCCGTAGGTGCAGCAGTACCGCACCCGCCACTATCAAAGCAGCGCTAACAGAAGTGTCGGATCAGCCTATATCAAGGGCAGAAAGGTCAACAATCGAGAAGTCAACTGTCGCTACTGCTGACCATCTGGACCGACGTTTGACCTACCGTCGAGGAATGGCAACAGGCGTAAGCGTACGTATAGGTTACATGCAGCGACTCGGTAACAAGAAAGGAGTACAAAGTCAGAGTCACTGTAGAAATGCCTGTAAAACAGTTAGAACAAGGGAATGTACCTGTCAGAGTACTGTTGAGATACTAAGCATAGGTGGGCTTAGGAGCCATAGTTTAGTTAGGTTCTTAGAGATCCAGTTTAGAGTTGAGGAGAGTGTCGAGAAAGTTGGACAGGAGAAAGAGTGACTTCACTATAGGTTTGCAAGAACATATAGCAAAGGAAACAAAGAAGGTGCACCACCAAACAAAGTTTATAATAACTACACTAACTAGAGCTACAGGCCGTTACAGATATATTATTACACTCCCTCATAACTGCCTGCAGCAGAAGCTAATGCAGAGACACCCCTTGAAGGGGTACACCAAGCGCAGCAGAAGGAGAGGGCAAGTGAGGAGGAGGGACTATATGAGGAGAGGCTGCTGGCAGGTGAAGCTGCTGGCTCCAAGGTGGCTGCTTCCTGGAACCTTCCTTAGTCCTCCAACTCCCCCTTCCACACTCCTTGACAACCCTAGCACATCTCCCCCAGCTCCCCCACACCCTCACACCCACCCCCCCCTAGCGGCAGCTGCAGCAGTGGGAGAGAAAGGAGGAGGAGGGGAAGGGGATCACACACACCCATCACCCCCATACCCGCCACTCCCATAGCCTCCGTTCCACGGCTGCACGCGCAGCAAGGAGACGAAGAAGGGGGGGGGGGGGGGGGGGGGGGCAGGGGCGACAGAGCAGAACAGAGCGCACGAGGGCGCGGGTAGCAGTAGGGCGCACGAGGGCGCGGGCAGCAGGAGAGCGCACGAGGGCGCAGACAGACCAGAGCTAACAAGGGCGCGGACAGCAGCAGAGCGGCAACGGGCAGCACAGGCATGGGCAGCAATGGGCGGCAACGGGCAGCACAGGCACGGGCAGCAACGGGCAGCAACAGGCAGCACAGGCTCGGGCAGCAACGGGCGGCAACATGCAGCACAGGCATGGGCAGCAACGGGCGGCAACGGGCAGCACAGGCACGGGCAGCAACAGGCAGCACAGGCTTGGGCAGCAACGAGCGGCAACAGGCAGCACAGGCACGGGCAGCAACAGGCGGCAACGGGCAGCACAGGCACGGGCAGCAACAGGCAGCAACGGGCAGCACAGGCACAGGCAGCAACGGGCGGCAACAGGCAGCACAGGCACGGGCAGCAACAGGCAGCACAGGCACGGGCAGCAACGGGCGGCAACACGCAGCACAGGCACGGGAAGCAATGGGCGGCAACGGGCAGCACAGGCACGCGCAGCAACGGGCGGCAACGGGCAGCACAGGCACAGGCAGCAACGGGCGGCAACGGGCAGCACAGGCACGGGCAGCAACAGGCAGCACAGGCTCGGGCAGCAACGGGCGGCAACAGGCAGCACAAGCACGGGCAACAACGGGCGGCAACGGGCAGCACAGGCACGGGCAGCAACGGGCGGCAACGGGCGGCAACGGGCAGCACAGGCACGGGCAGCAACAGGCAGCAACAGGCAGCACAGGCAGGCAGCCGTACCGAGTCCAGGAGCGGCGGTGCATACAGCTGTAGGGTCAGCGCCGTGGGCTGCTGCTGGGGCGGCTCGCGGGGTCCAGGGGCGGCTGCTGAGGTCCAGGAGCGGCTGCTGAGGTCCAGGGGCGGCTGCTCCAGGGGCGGCGGTGGTGCAAGGTAGGCCCGCGCGCGGCTGCAACGCTGGCGCGGGCGCAGGTGAGACAGAGGCGGTGGCCAGGGGGGAGGGCGCCGCGACGAGTAGGAACGGCGCCCAAGGGGTGCCGCTACGAGTAGGGGCGACGCCCCAGGGGCGCCGCGACGAGCAGGAGCGGCGTCCAAGGGGCGCCGCGACGAGCAGTGGCGACGCCCCGCGGGTCTCGCAGTGGCGTCACGACGAGCAAGGCGACGCCATGCGGGTCCTGCAGGGGCATCGCGACGAGCAGGAGCGGCGACACCCGGGTCCCGCAGGTGCGTCGCGATGAGCAGGAGCGGCGCCTCGCAGGGCGCCGCGAAGTGGAGGGTATGGGTGGGCAAGACAGGCCCGCGCGTGGACATGAGGCAGGCGCGCAGGTGGCGTGAGGGCAGGCCATGCGCGGGGCAGGAAGACGCCGTGCGCCCCGAGCACATGGCGGGCAGAAAATCGCCGTGCGCCAAATACGCCGCGCGCCCGAGGCGCGCGGCAGGACGATAGGCAGCGGAAGTAGGAAGGCAGCAGGAGGACGATACCTGCTCTGAATACCATGTTGAGATACTAAGCATAGGTGGGCTTAGGAGCCATAGTTTAGTTAGGTTCTTAGAGATCGAGTTTAGAGTTGAGGAGAGCGTCGAGAAAGTTGGAAAGGAGAAAGAGTGACTTCACTATAGGTTTGCAAGAACATATAGCAAAGGAAACAAAGAAGGTGCACCACCAAAAAAAGTCTATAATAACTACACTAACTACAGCTACAGGCAGTTACAGATATATTCTGATAAGTACATGGCTAGCTAGAACTGTTTATCATATGTGTAATCTTTTGTTTAATCAAATTGGTCATCTACATTCACTATGATCTGAGTTCCTAAACCAAGACTTCTGCTACCAAACTCTTCCAAAGCATTCCTATCCTATCCAAAGGTCCTTTTAATCTAACATGGTATCAGAGCTAGTTTGGATTATAGGAACTGCTAAAGGGGCTTTCGCAACAAGCTTCTTTATAACTTAAATTCCTACATAAAAAACAACGCCATCAACATGCCGGGCGCAGACTGCGGAGAGGCTAGAGAATATCCAGTGCAACCCTCCACCACTGTCGCTTCTTCTACAATGACCGTGGACACAGCGCTCCTCGAGCAGCTGATCTCCCGCATCAACGCACTGGAGAGCCACCAGCCGATGAGCATCGACAGCTTCAGCTACGCCAGAAGACCTCCCGATCCCCAAGGAGCTGGATCTGAACGATCCTTCACCTTCGTTAACCGCGGAGCTCAAGGACCTGCTCAAGCATAACAGACACATTACGAGGCAATGGCGTCAATGCAGAGCAAGTTCCTCTCAACATTGAAACTCAGGACATTGAAGCCCTTCAATGGGCAAGACTTCTACATATGGAGTTTCGAATTAGAGCTACTAGCTCAGGGCGCTCAGATCTGGATGTACTAAGACGGTTCTTACGCCTTCCCAACCAACGGCTCACCTCAGGAGAAGACACAGTACTAGAACGAATCGCTCCTTGCCTTCACCGTCTTAAGTCAAAACCTGTCGCCCGAAAAGCAGCTCCGCATTCGCCCCTTCAAGAACGAGTGGGCACCCGCGCAGCAGTCCTGGGAGCACATGCGCACTTGCCACATGGCAAAAGATTCGGTGACACTTAGTCGCCTGCTCAACTAGCTGAACAATGTCAAGATGTTCCTCGGCGAGAAGGCCAGACCATACATCAACCGCTGCAGGAACTTGAGAGATCAGTTCAGGAAAAGCGGCGGCAACTTCCCTGACGACATGTTCGCCACAATTATCCTTGGTGGATTGAGCCCGGAATGGCGCCAGTGCAAGTCGCTCCTTCGCACTCAAGGGACCCTCAGTGAAACTGCCCTTTGCTTCACAATCCTTTCCAAATAGAAGGAAATCAACCTGTACAGCGAAAGGGGCAACAAGAAGGAGAAGATCGCTTTCTACACACAAGCACCACCAGACAAGAAAAGACTCTTATGGAAATACTGCAAGAAGAACGGGCATACAATTCAAGATTGCTGGAAACCGAACGGCAACAATAACCAAAAGGGTGCCACTGCTCACCAGCAAGGAGGACCTCCGGCACGCAACCAGACAGTGTCACCACCAGCCGTCGCCTGCACGTTCCAGGCTCCGGCGCGCGTTTCTGCGAACACAAATGACAAGGGCAAAAGCAAGGTCTTAACCTGCATGGTGCGTCACGGACCACCTCGCCCTAATAAACACTACCGCTTCTTCCGCAGCTGGGAGGACATGTTCGCCGACCCGCCTCACGAGCGGCCCGAAGGATCGGTCGAAGATGAGGAAGAAAACGATCCAATGTACGACGAGCTGATAGCCAGGAGAATGGAGTACGACTGGGAAATGCCGAAGTGGATCCAAGAATCGCCACCTGCGCGCATAGCATACGATGAAGGAGGGTGTTATTATGACTACGAGAACAATCATGACATGGAGCATCATATCACCCCGAAACTCGCCAACCTCGCCAAGGCGTAGAAAGAAGTCAACACGTGGTACCTGGACAGTTGCTGTGGCCAACAGATGATGTCGTCAGACGTCTTCATCCTCAATAGGGAACGACTCTTCAATGAGGTGGAGATCACCGTTGCCAACAGTCAGACCATCTACGCCAGAAGCCGCGGACATGTTCAGCTGGAGCACATCCTCGTTCTTGATCCACCGGGCCACCCCTCACCACCAAGGTGGAGTCACCCAAAAGAAACCGACTATCAGCAACCGGGTCTCGACGGCACCTTCCGCGCTCTTGCCGTGCTTGTCGCCTCAACCACGAACCCTGCAGACACAGGACCACAAGCAGTGGAAGAAGGGGAGGAAATCAGGTCAGAAACGACAGTCACAACAACTGAACCGACAAGCACGGAAGCCACCCAGGCCCTCTGGCCTCCAGTTCAACAACCTACCGGCTGGAACACCACCGAGGGCTGGGACGCTGTGGACGTTCGCCGGATCACGGAGAACACCGCGCTGGGAGAAGCCATCGCAGCTGAAACTGGATGGGGAAACGTCGCCAAAGGACCTGTAGCAGAGGAAGCAGAAGCAGCAGAAGAACCTGAAATTACTCAAGAGGCACCAGAAACAGAAGAGGAAGAATCACTAATGGAGTGCGGACCTCACCTGATTCCCATCACGACGGACGGCAGGGATTACCTCCGCCTCGAGACAAGGGGAGTGGCGATCGGCGATACCAACTTCGAAAAGGGAGAAATCACGCAACCCAAAGATCGTCACGCACGAACCTCGCCCCCGCCTCCTGAAAGGCCATTGGAGCTGGCGGTAATGATTGACACCATCACCATCGACGACACCAGTGGAACGTATCACGGCGCGACAATCCAAGCTGCGGCGATACAAGTCACCATGCCCGACGAACCTGCGGATGAAACCAGGAAAGAAACAGCAGAGGAGATATTGGCATGGGAGAAAGAGCTGTACGCGCGTACTAAGAGTTATCGGGCCAACGGAGACATCTGGCATCAACGCATGGGACACCCATCAATTGAAGTGCTCAACAACTGCATCAATGCAAACGTTTTTAGTGGCAGATGCACTGTTGCTGCCCAATGGAAAGCTAGTGAAACCAAGAACTGACTTACCTAACTGCACCGTCTGCCCGACAGCCGCGCTTCGCCACACGCCCTTCGCCGAAAAGATACATGGAGCCAAACGTTACAAGCCGCTAGAGAAGGTCTACAACGATTTCCTAGTGCTCACGTCAAAAGGAGTTGGAGGGGAGCAGTACACCCTTAACTTCATCGATGCTGGCGCACGCTTTGTCTGGGCCGTGAACGTCAGTGATCGTTACCTTGCCTACCAGTGCTCCCAAGGTCTGGCTCAGCATGGCGGAGACTCTAAGTGACGGATAAAAACTGAAGGCATTTCTGACAGACGGAGCCTTGGAGTAATAGTCAGACGACTTCAAAACCCTCTGCAAGCAAAAGGGGATCAAGTGGATGATCTCTCTTCCTTACGCCCACGAGCAACAGGGATTGGCCGGGCGAACTAATAGGAGCCTCACGAAAAAAATGCGAGCTCTCATGAAGCACTCGGCAGTGCCAACCAAGTATTGGCCCTTCGCGATGGCACATGCAGTTCAGTTGCACAACATGCTCTCCTCGAAGACACTGCCCAACAACAGCTCACCCTTCAAGGAGTGGACCGGAAAACACCCTAACACACGCATTTTGTGAGTCTTCGGGTGTATGGTACAGTACTGCCCCCATACTGCCCGAACCGGAAAATTTGAAGATCACGCCCGCTAGGGCATTTCCCTCGGAATCGAATCCGAATATCACGCCTGGACGATCCTGGACTTTGCCACCCACTAGCTCACGCATTCACGTGACTGCATCTTCTACGAAAGACTGACTCTCCCACTGTATCGCCAGCACCGCACTGCATAGAACGCACCAGACAACGTCTTTCAGGGACAGCACAGCTACGCCAATGACGAAGATGATGTCAACGTGGCAGGGGAACAGCCAGACGAAGCCGCAGCAGATGAGGCACCCTCCGTCCCCGTTACGGAGCAGTTCGGCACACCCACATATCTTCCTACAGATATCACTCCACACGAAGCAGTACAGGCACAACACGATTACGCAAGTGCGGAAATGCACTCACCCATAAACAAAGAACCCGCGACCCCTCCCGCGACACCATTCGCAATATCCCATGCGACGACGACGATAAGGTCGAAGTTACCAACATGGCCGAATCCAACCTCATAGGTCTTCGCATCTTCGGCGTCGCTGTCGCAGTTCGGGGTAACCAGGAGCTGGTTGAGCCCACCACTGTTTGCCATGCCCTCAGCGTGAGAAG